TAACATATTTAATTTAAAATATATAACATATTTAGTTTAAAATATATAAAATATTTAGTTTAAAATATAAAAAATATTTAGTTTAAAATATGTAACATATTTAATTTAAAATATGCAATATATTTAGGTTAAAATATGTAACATATTTAGTTTAAAATATATAAAATATTTAATTTAAAATATGTAATATATTTAGTTTAAAATATGTAATATATTTAGTTTAAAATATATAAGATATTTAATTTAAAATATGTGACATATTTAGTTTAAACTATATAACATATTTAGTTTAAAATATCTAATATATTTAGTTTAAAATATATAACATATTTAATTTAAAATATATAACATATTTAGTTTAAAATATATAAAATATTTAGTTTAAAATATGTAACATATTTAATTTAAAATATGCAATATATTTAGGTTAACATATGTAACATATTTAGTTTAAAATATATAAAATATTTAATTTAAAATATGTAATATATTTAGTTTAAAATATGTAATATATTTAGTTTAAAATATATAAGATATTTAATTTAAAATATGTGACATATTTAGTTTAAACTATATAACATATTTAGTTTAAAATATCTAATATATTTAGTTTAAAATATATAATATATTTATTTCAAAAACTAAAATATTTAGTTTAATATCGAGTTTAAAACAGACAAATTCTCGCTCAAATTTATTATTAATTTACCTAGAAATCCAAATCTGAAATTCTTCGAAAATTTTCTAAAAATAAAATAAAAATTTCAACTGTTTCTCCTCGTCTCGTTTTCAGGCTTGAAGATCTTCGACACGTGCAACGACGAGATGACAGTGTACAAACAAGCGTTGCAAACAACGGTAGACATGGACTGCACGGACCATTACGAAATGGGAATACTATTGCCGACGGTGTACACAACGATCTTAGAACCGCTTCGTAATTACAGCGTGTTGCCCATCAGCTCGTACAACGAGCAGAATTTGACAAGGCCCTTGATCAGCCTGATGGTTCATTACGTTAGCACCAGGTTCGAAACGATCGACGTACTACTGGTTAACCACGATTTCGCGTTGAATTCGTTTCTGGATGCAACGAAGGAAGCGGGGATTTGCGTGAAGAAGTATGGCGACAGCCTGGAGCTGGAGGAGGACGAAACGGAGGCGGTGATCGCCGCGATCGGACAGAGGAACGACATTCGACAGTGGATCGAGAGGGGTGAGAAGATGCAAGGCTCGAGGAAAACGTGGATCGCGTTGCCCCTCGATGGATCGAACGTCGACGGTGAGAGATTGTGATTTTTTATCGATTTATACAAAATTTAGAGGGAAACTTTATTATTTATTAATTTTTTTTTATTAAGGATTTATAAGTTTATAAAGTCTGTTGTATATATAATTGTTAAAAAACGAATTTTAATAATTTTTAAAATAAGATATAATGATTAAATTATATCATTATTAGTAATAAATATATTATAATATATTAATAATTATATATATATATATAACTAGGCAAAATAAATATATTCACCTGTTTATCAAAAACATGTCTTATTGAAAATAATTTTGAGTCAATCTGCCCAATAATATAATAATATAATATAATATAACAATATAACATAAAAAATTCCTAACTTAATAAATAAATAATAATAGAATAATATAATAATGAAATAATAAATAATATAATAAATAAATAATAATATAATAGTAAAATAATAAATAATATAATAATGTATAATATAAAATTTTCTAACTTAATAAATAAATAAATAAATAAATAATGTAATAATATATAATCTAAAAATTCCTAATATATTGAATAAATAAATAATAACATAATGTATAATATAAAATTTTAATATAATGTATAATAAATAATATAATAAATAAATAATAATATAATAGTAAAATAATAAATAATATAATAAATAAATAATAATATAATAGTAAAGTAATAAATAATATAATAATGTATAATATAAAATTTTCTAACTTAATAAATAAATAAATAAGTAAATAATGTAATAATATATAATATAAAAATTCCTAACATACCAAATAAATAAATAATAACATAATGTATAATATAAAATTTTCTAACTTAATAAATAAATAAATAAATAAATAATGTGATAATATATAATATAAAAATTCCTAACATACCACACACACACACACACAAATAAATAAATAATAACAATTTCCAAATTTTCAGACCTAGTTCCTCTCGTGTCATAATTTCTGTTTCACTCATTTTATCAACCCTCGATTTCTAAACACAAGAATCCAAGTGAACAGAGAACGAATTCGGACAATTTCAGACGTGATTCCTCCAGGTTCGTACGTGGTGCGAACGTCGCCGTTCGACCTGGACCTGCTGCAGGAGATCTCCACTCCAGATTTGTTTCTGGAAGCAGCGAGCAGCCCAGTAATCCATTCGCCGCATTTGCTCGGTATCGGCAAGGCGATCGTCGAATTGGCCCAGTTGCTGCACGACATTCACAAACGGAACTGTCCGCGAGGAACAGAATCGTGCGTGATGCCGCGCTTCAACGCGAACACGAAACAGGAAATGCGAAACGCGGACGTGTACAACGCTCTTCGCATACTGCCGAAATCGCACTCGATCAAGTACATCGTGGCAATGAAGAGCCAACAGGAGATGATCGACATGGCCGCGTACAGGGTGGAGCCGACGAATTCGAAATTCAGAATCACGCCGGAGTCCAGGGTGCCGAAGATGCCTAAGCTTTGCTTGAAGAAGCACGCGAGGAATTGCGACGATTGCGCGAACTTCAAGAAGAGATTCGGCCCTCGCAGTGTCACCAAAGGTCAGTCGATAGAGGAATGAAGGAATTAAAATTGAGAATGAAGGTTAAAGAATATATCGTGCAAAATTAACATTAACTTCGCTGGTATTAACAGAGGAATTTTAATTTAATAGATTAACTACTATGGATGGATAGAAAGTACGCAGATATAGCACGTTTTGCGAAAGTTAACTGCATATCTATTGTAAATTCTATTATTTCTCTATCTTATATTATTCAGTTTCTTTATTTTTTTCAATAACAATTAATTCTTTTACTAATACTATGCTTTATAGTATTATAATTGTACAATTATTGCATATCTTCAGTTTCACTTGTTAACAATGTTAAAAATTGTAAGTGCTTCTAATTCGACAATCAAAAGCTGCTGTATCTATACTTTAATATTATATAAATATATAAATGTAATATTATACAATACTACCTATATGTAATATTATACAATTGCCATATATCTTCAATTTTACTAAGAACGTGTAAAATGTTGAAAATTTTGAACAATCAATGGCCATAAACTACGTGTATATATGCATTCTGCAAAGCACACCTTTAAATGTTTCACAATATCTACAGTTTGCTAAGCATCAGTATTTCAATTCTCACAAAACACCTCTAATGTACTCTTCTAAAACCTGGTAATGTTATTTGCACATTTTTAAATATTTCATGACATCTACAATTATCAACATTTCCAACTCTCACAGAACACTTTTAATGTACTCTTCTAAAACCTAATAATATCAAAGTATAATTTGTTTTAAATACTTGATGATACTTATAATCATCAACTCTATTTCTAATTCTCACAGAACACCCCCAATATACTCTTCTAAAACGTGGTAATATTGAAGTACAATTTGTACATCTTTAAATATTTTGTGGTATATATAATTATCATTTTCAACTCTCACAGAGCATCCCTAATGTATCCTTCTGAAACCTAATAATATCAAAGCATAATTTGTACATTTTTAAATATTTTCATGATATCTAAAACCATCAACATTTTCCAATTCTCAAGGAATACCCCTAATATATCAAAAACCTGATAATATTAAAGACAAAGTTAAAATACCTCATGATATCTGTCCAATCATCAACATTTCCAATACTCGTACAAGATTTTAGAGAAGAATTCTCACATTTCCAATTCTCAAACAACACCTCTAATATATATCTCTAAAACCTGATAATATTAAAGTGCAACTTATATCTTTAAATACTTCATGATATCTATTCAATCATCAACATTTCCAATTCTCATACAAGATTTTAGAGAAGAATTCTCACGTTTCCAATTCTCAAAGAATCACATCTCTAATATATTTCTTTAAAACTTGATATTACAAGTACAACTTATATCTTTAAATACCTCATGATACCTACAATCATCAACATTTCCAATTCTCATACAAGATTTTAGAGAAGAATTCTCACATTTTCAATTCCTTGAAATTCTCAAAGGATACCCCTAATATATATCTCTCTAAAACTTGATAATATTAAAGTACAACTTATATCTTTAAATACCTCATGATATCTATCCAATCATCAACATTTCCAATTCTGGTACAAGATTTTAGAGAAGAATTCTCACATTTCCAATTCCTTGAAATTCTCAAAGGATACCCCTAATATATATCTCTCTAAAACTTGATAATATTAAAGTACAACTTATATCTTTAAATACCTTATACCTACAATCATCAACATTTCCAATTCTCATACAAGATTTTAGAGAAGAATCCTCACATTTCCAATTCCTTGAAATCCAGTAATATTAAAATCTAATAATTTGCAACACCTTTAAATACTCAAGCTCCACGATCATCCGCATCTTCAACCTCTCGAAGAAAAACACCGTCGCCTAACGCGCCCTCCTAAAACTTGGCGAGCTAACGTTGCTGGTTCGTTGCAGATACACTCGACAGGGGTTTATTAAAGGCAGGCAACTGGATACCAATTTTCCTGACGGTGGTTGTGTGCGGTACGTTCGCCTGCGGCGTGATTGCTGTCTTCATTATCTACCGCTTCATCGTCGAGGACGTTCTCGATGGGAATCCAGCGTTAACGATCGTGCTGATACTGGCCAACGTGTTCACCCTGCAGACGGTACTGCCGTTTTGCATCAACGACGATTATTTAGGGGCTGAGCACCTCAACTCGAGGAAAATCCTCGTGGCTACGCTCGCGTTCGGATTGGACTTCTCCGTCATGCTATCCAGAGCGTTTTTCCTGGTATTCTCCAAAGGTGGTGTCTTTACCGCTCACATTAACGGATATCTTCAGGGACTGATGGTGTTCTTCATGTTCTGCGTGCAACTCGCGATATCCGTTATGTTCTTCGCTCTCAGCACCGACGACTCGGCGGTCGTTGTCAGGAGTTTGAGCTTCATCGCTCTTCTAGGTAAATCATCGTTCTGTGAGCCTTATTTTTTTTATTAATAGCTACTTGTGCAACTCGATGGAACAGTTCAGAGCGTGGAACAATTATGATAGTTAGTCCAATCGATAGGGTTACTAGATTAGCAGATCTATATTCAAAATAAAGCTCTTCGATATACTCTTTAGAAAGTGAAATTTTAATAATACTTTTCCTTTCTTCTCTGTATCTTTTTTATTGTATTTCTGTCTTCTTTTTTATCTATTTTTGTGCCTATTATTGTGTCTTATTAATAATAAATGATAATATGAAAACTATTTACTGAAAATTTTGAAAAACATAAGTATGTTTGTATAGTGTAACTCATTTTTGGTGGAAAATAACTTTCACTGATTTAGCTCAGTTTCCATATACTATTCTTAGTGTAGGAAAATTTATTTAACTTAACAAGGATGAAACGATAGTTTATCGTAACATTATAATATAATTAATAACATTACTATACAATATATATATATTAATATTATAATATAATTAATAACATTATAATAACATATATGTATATATATACATAATATAATTTTAACATTATAATAACACACATATATATATATATATATATGTATAATATAATTTTAACATTATAATAACATATGTGTATACATAATATAATTTTAATATTATAATAACATATATATATATATATATATATATATATATATATATAATTTTAACATTATAATAACATATGTATATACATAATATAATTTTAACATTATAATAATAATATATATATACACATAATATAATTTAACATTATAATAACATATACATATATATATATATATATATACATAATATAATTTCAATATTATAATATATTAATAACATTATAATAACATATATATATATGGATAATATAATTAATAACATTATATCAACATACATAACATAATTTTAACATTATAATATAATTAAAAACATTTATTATATATATATATATATATAAAATTCACCTGATAAAACTGATTCCAGGCTACGATATATTTCTACTGGTCAGCCTGTTCGTGGTGTGCTTCTTCATCTCGCGGCTGCCGCGCAATTATCGGGAAGGCAAGTGTTTCTTCGGCACCTCGATCGGGCTACTGATCGTCTGGGCCATCTGGCTCACCTGTTTCATCCTCGTCGAGCCGGAATGCCGCGACACTGTCGTGTCCTTCGGTATTATTTCCACGGCGTACCTCATCATTATCGGTGTCCTGATACCGAGAACGTATTACATGGTGAAGCATCTGGCCCGGGGGAAGGAATTTGGACAGAGATTCGGATCGACCGATCTAGGACCGGATCACAGGATCAACACGATCGCCAGGCAGGTTAGAACGATGAAACATGCTGCTCGATTGGTATTCTCGTTCAATCGTCCCCGGATTGGAAAATTTCTCTTTCGTTTGTAGCTTTTTTATTTACGTTCGTTTATTACGACTCTCTGTGTTTATTGATTCTTTATGGCAACTTAATCATGAAAAAGCCGCTGCGAATTCATCGTTTCATTTTCTGCGACAATTCGTGCCTCTTGATTATTATTATTAATATAATACGAGGATTAGAAATTTTTTTCTAGAGTTTTTCTCGTAATTTTGTCACTTTCAATCTTTCTGGTGGTTACTCGTAAATTTTTGTACGTCGAAAGATTAAAATCTTTGAACGTCTGGGTTAAACGTAGAGGGTTTCTATGTTTTTCTGCTGTTTTCTTTCTCCAGTTTGCAGATATCTTGAAATGTCATTTTGTCCATTTGTCGTTAAAAAGAAAAGTAATATCCACTTTTAGAACAGATCTCGATTTATTTTAGAAAACATTCGGGAAACATGAACATCGCCTCGCTTTTATTGTACGCATAGCATTTCGCACGCAACAAATTTGTTTATATCGAATAAAAAAATTCACTGCTTCGTAATTACTTCGTAAATCCTTTCTTTCTTCTTCTTTTTTCTTGAATTTTCCTCCAAAGAAAAAAAAAAAAAAAAGAAAAATCCGCATGACGAACATTTCATTCACGCAGAATCGTCCGTTTTACGATTACGTGCACTCCGGCGGCGGAAGTACGACGAACTTGCAGGTGACGTCCGCCTATCCGAACTATTACGGTAGCCCGAGTCCGAATCAGAAGTATCTGGGCCAGTGTAGAAGCGCCGAAACGAGAAGAATCCCTGGATACAACAATTACGGATACCACACGGAGATGCGAGAAGTGAATAACTCATACACAATACCCCAAGTCTGCATCGAGGATGCGGACGTGAGATTTTTTTTCTCCTTATTTTTCGTAGATCTCGTGTTCTTTTGCCTTTTGTCTAGAGTGACTCGCGAATTTCAAAAGATCGAAACGAAAGTGAAGACGAGATTGAACTTATAAATGACAGAGCACGACGAAGAGTGAGGAAATATTTTTGCGATGGAAATTTTGAAATGTACAAGTCACAAAAAGTTAGGGAAAGAACAGAACAAAACATCGCGATAAATTGTAAGAAATTGCAAAAGAATAAAAAAAATATTTGTAATAGAGATTTTGAAATGTTACGATAAATTGTAACAAATTGCAAAAAAGTAAGAGAATATTTGTAATAGAGATTTTGAAATGTTACTATAAATTGTAACAAATTACAAAAAGATAAGAAAATATTTATAATAGAAATTTTGAAATGTTACAATAAATTGTAACAAATTGCAAAAAAATAAGAAAATATGTGTAATAGAGATTTTGAAATGTTACTATAAATTGTAACAAATTGCAAAAAAGTAAGAAAATATTTGTAATAGAGATTTTGAAAAGTTACTATAAATTGTAACAAATTGCAAAAAAATAAGAAAATATTTGTAATAGAAATTTTGAAAAGTTACTATAAATTGTAACAAATTGCAAAAAAATAAGAAAATATTTGTAATAGAAATTTTGAAATGTTACTATAAATAAACTGTAACAAATTAAAAAAAAAAGAAAATATTTATAATAGAGATTTTGAAATGTTACAATAAATTGTAACAAATTATAAAAAAATAAGAAAATATTTATAATAGACATTTTGAAATGTTACAATAAATTGTAACAAATTACAAAAAAAATAAGAAAATATTTGTAATAGAAATTTTGAAATGTTACTATAAATTGTAACAAATTGCAAAAAAATAAGAAAATATTTGTAATAGAGATTTTGAAAAGTTACAATAAATTGTAACAAATTGCAAGAAAATAAGAAAATATTTGTAATAGAAATTTTGAAATGTTACGATAAATTGTAACAAATTACAAAAAGCGACCAAATATTTGTGATAAATTCCAATACATTGGAAAAAGGAATTCTGAAATTCGAGAATATTGGAAAAAGATATTTTCCAATAAATAAATAAATAAATAAATAAATAAATAAATAAATGGGAAAAGATATATTTTGTGATAAAGTGTCCCGTTAAAATAATTGTGCAAAATCACGATGCAACTTCTTCTGTAAGAAGTTCTTTTACAACAAAGTGTTCCATCAAAAAAAAACAATAGAGAGTAATATCTCCCGGTTAAATTAAATTTCCTTTACTTCGTTCATTTCGTTCAACGATTGAAAATGAGCCGCAACAGCAGATTGTCTTTATAGGCAACTAGATCTTTTTCTTAGAGAATTAGATTTTTTCCAAAAGCAGAATATTCCTCGCTCGGTTTTTCAAAGTTCTCGGCCTGTTTTTCGGCATGAATACCAATGTTAGTCCGAAAGTATAATAGAGTACGCGCTTCGATAGAAACGCGAGGCAAGCAATTCGTTAAGAATTCAGGAAATTACGTTTGCAGTCAAGGACGAGCCCGGTGGATCGGAGCGACGCGAACGCGACGTACGCCCGGCCAAAATGTCAGCGGAAACGGAGGCCCAAGGACAACAAAAATTGCATCGAGACCGACGTGTACGTCGAGGGTAGCGTCTCCGTCGGCCGTAAATCCCACGACGAGATCTATCCTGCGCGATCGAGCAGCCCCAGATTGATCCAAACTGAGGCGACCATCCGCGAGGAAAACGAGGACGACGAAATCAACAGGATCACGCGATTCTAACGCTTAAAATAATAATAAACCAAACGTCTCAACACCCAACTGGTACTTATTAAGGGGAATTATAAAAGTACTTAATTTTTATTTACTTGATGAGCAAATAAATAATTGTGAAACACTGTAGCAATAAACGAACGATTGTAAAATAACTGTGAAACACTAGAAATAGAATGAAATTAAATAAACGAGAGTCAATAAGAATTATATACCTTCATTTGTTTTATTATTTAATTTTATTACTTGCTATTTGTGCGTTCCACGATTTTCATTTTATTTAATTTTGTTCCATTTAGCGTTCTACGATTTACTAATGAAAAAGAATGAGCAGCTGACACACAATGTGTGATGTCAGAATGATTTGATGCTAGAAATCAGTAACCGGTTTAACTGGCGTTGAGAATCTAGAATACCTCGTTTGTTTATTTATTTCATTTCATTCCAATTGGTGGCTCTACGATTTACAATTAAAAAAAAAAAAGAAAGAAGCAGTTAAGGTACAATGCTATGAAACATCAGAATGAAGTAAACGTGTGTCGATTCATTGTTTTAAGGAAGACTGTTCGATACAGAGATGACATAGGTATAAAGACTAGGAACGCAGAGTATTGTTTCACTTAATTATGAATTAATAAATATATATATATTAATAAATATTATAAATTAATAAATAATTAATTCAATATTATAAATTATATATTAATAAATATTATAAATTAATAAATATACATATTATATATTATATATACTAATATTGTATATATATATTATATTTTATATATATTAATATTGTATATATATATTATATTTTATATATATTAATATTGTATATATATATTATATTTTATATATATTAATATTGTATATATATATTATATTTTATATATATTAATATTATTATATATTATATTTTATATATATTAATATTATTATATATTATATTTTATATATATTAATATTATTATATATTATATTTTACATATATTAATATTATTATACATTATATATATTATATTTTATTATTATATATTAATAAAGTTGGCTACGAGAAGATAAAACTCGTTTAATCAAGAAAGTTGTAAAAGGAATGTCATTTGAAACTTAATATCATTAAAAACTCGATGAATTTCACATTTAATAGAACATAAAAATTATATAAAGTAAACGAATTAAGCACCAAACAATGTTAACTATGGAAAAGCTATGTTTTTCTACGTATTGCAATAAGTGATAGTTTAATAAAACCAATGTTCATTTCATTCTACTACGACACCATGTACGGAGAACGCTAAATTACACTTTAAAGTTAAGTTACGACCAGTTGAAGGTTAAACGTTCTGTAGACAATCGTACAAAATTTTCAAAAGTAAAATGAATCGTTTCACTCGAGATACGCTGGATCTATTTGACCAAAACTTTCGTGACAAATCCTTCTTCACGATCGAAATGAACTCAACGTGAATAAGGTATGATAAGAAAATGAAGGTTGTAGTATGAGACTATGAGAAGCACCATAGAAGTGGAAAGTAATAAATTGAAGACATTGGGGACAGATCTATTTTCTGATTCGTCGATTTTCGTGGTCATGTCCCCTTCAATGGGGAAATAAATTTTTTTTTTTTTTCAATCGAAGACTGCGTTTTATCTTTGAGAAAAAAGAAAAAAGATATCGTAATACTTCTGATCGATTGATCCACTACGTAGAGAGATGTATGTGACGTGTGTCGTAGAATTTTTAATAAATTTTACAGCTGGTTTGTAGTGACTCATTTATCACAATTTAATCGTGATTCAAGTATTTTAAATTAGTATATTTCAAATTCAACATTTTTCAATTCGGTGCCAAGACGTCGTAACAACATCAAGAATACTTTAATAAAATGAAATCGCTAAACAAGAATGTAAATAAACAAATCGTCGGTATGAACAAACACCGAATAAAACAATAAAGAAAATTATAGAAAAATCTTCAGTTATTTGTTAATTTATACGCTTATAATTATTTAAAACTATATATTCCTACATAATTGTTACTAATCATTATCATTATTAGTAACTATTTAATTATTCTACTTTTAATGTCACGAATATAATCACTTGATAATTATTGTTCGTTTTGAGAAAAATTTTGTACAAGTTCACACATATTATTTAAAGATAAAACAGTAACATTGTTCTTATGTTATTATGTTACACCATTTTAAGATTAGTTCTACATAGTCATTACTAATTATTAATAATTAATTAATTCTAGTGCAAACTCTTATATTATCCACTCGTTCATTTTAAGATCATTCCTACATTACCAATTATTAATAATTAATTAATTCTCTAACTGTGAATATCCAGGAATTATTAATAATTAATTAATTCTACTGCGAACCATTATATTATTACCCATCTATTTTAAGATCACTCCTACATGATCACTACCATTATTAATAATTAATTAATTCTCTAACTGTGAATATCTAGAAATTATTAATAATTAATTAATTCTACTGCAAATTCTTATATTTCCACTCGTTCATTTTAAAATCACTCTTATATGATCACTACCAATTATTAATAATTAATTAATTCTCTAACTGTGAATATCTAGAAAGTATTAATAACTAATTAATTCTACTGCAAACTATTATATTAACACTCGTTCATTTTAAGATTGCTCCTACATGATCACTACTAATTATTAATAATTAATTAATTTTACTACAAACTCTTATGTCACCACTCGTTCATTTTAAGATCACTCCTACATGATCACTACCAATTATTAATAATTAGTTAATTCTCTAACTGTGAATATCTAGAAATTATCAATAATTAATTAATTCTACTGCAAATTCTTATATTACCACTCGTTCATTTTAAGATCACTCCTACATGATCACTACCAATTATTAATAATTAATTAATTCTCTAACTGTGAATATCTAGAAAGTATTAATAATTAATTAATTCTACTGCAAACTCTTATATTAACACTCGTTCATTTTAAGATCACTACTAATTATCAATAATTAATTAATTCTACTGCAAACTCTTATGTCACCACTCGTTCATTTTAAGATCACTCCTACATGATCACTACCAATTATTAATAATTAATTAATTCTCTAACTGTGAATATCTAGAAATTATCAATAATTAATTAATTCCACTGCAAATTCTTATATCACCACCCACCCATTTTAAGATCACTCCTACACGATCACTAATTGTTAATGATTAATTAATTCCACTGCGAATATCAGAACCACAATTGCACCCCGCAATTACTTGACAATTATTATCCGTTTTAAAAAACAGTTCGCACATTGTCTGAAGATAATTCACGTCGCCGCTGCACACTTCCCTTCCTCCTTTCAAATAACAGCTTAATTGATATGATTTAGGAAACATCGTTTGGCAAGCGCTCCGATCGACTTTCACGGTGAAACGGAAGCCACTCTGTTCAGCCATTATCGTCGTTAATTAAAGTACAAAACGAGATGAGAACGAACGACGGTGCTCCCCTTTTGCACGCGGGAAAAGGGTAGCTCGCGCGTGCAAGAGAAGCAATTTCGCGTGGTTCCATGCCCGAAATTGCGTTATGGTCGATCGTAATTCCGCAATCGGGGGCACAGGTGTACGCGCCGGAGGAATATCGATGACAGTACCGTAACCGGGAACCAGCGACACGTCGCCATCGTTCTCTATAACTCGCCAACGAGTTATCTGCTCCATCCTTGAAAATTAACGAGAAATTTCGAAACACAGGTCGAATCAGAAATTTCAGAGCTATTGACTGTCAAATTGAACTTGAGAGAAGATTGAAAATTCGACTTGAATTCGTATGAATTAAAACACGCTCGAAATTATTGAACTGAACAGCAATTCAGTAGTTTTCGATCGTTGCGAACGTCTCACGAGAGAGTTCTGAATTAAATTCGGTGAAAGAAAGAAATTTAAGGTGCACAAAAGTGATGAATTCGTTGCTCTGTAGTATGAGATTGAAAACTAGTGTGAGATTGAGAAGTTTCAAACGGCTTTCGATTAGAAAAACGAAGGAAAGATCTTTTAATTCTTGATCCGCTGGGAAATTATTCTTTCATTCTCTGTGATCGATGTCTGAAAGAGACTTCAACAAACAAAAATTCAAAGCAATAAAATCAACCGTTCCTTGATAGTGATACTTACAAGTGATACTAAATTTAAAGCTTGAAAAATCTTTCAAATGAAATTCGAATCTAAAATGTTTCCCATTAAGTTAACCATCGAATCCAAGATTCAGTTGAATTCACAAGCGAACACCGACGAAGTCTATACCTCAAAAATAAGAAAATGCTTTCAATAGATCGAAACTTAGTTCGAAAATAAAAACCGATCTTATTCATCCACCGCAAACGTGTTTAAATCAAGAACCTGAGAACCATTCTAAATTCCAATTAACAATGTAATTAACAATTTCAAAATCTAAAAACTGCGAGATTTCCGTGAAAATCTGAAAATTGCAACACTTTGCATAATAAATAATTTCCTAATTTCCTAAAACCGAGCTAAATAAGAAATGAAATAAAGATCTAAATGATAAATAAATTAAATAATTTCCACAAATAATAACAATAGATAATTTCCATAAATAATAATTTCCACAAATAATAATAATAAATAATTTCCATAAAATAATAAATAATAAAATTAAACATTTTCTGTAATTTCCATAAATAATAAATAAATTAAACAATATCCATAATTTCCATAAATAATAAATAAATTAAATAATTTTCATAGATAATAATAAATAATTTCCATAAATAATAAATAAATTAAACAATATCTATAATTTCCATAAATAATAAATAAATAAAATAATTTTCACAAATAATAATAATAAATAATTTCCATAAATAATAAATAAATTAAATAATTTCCACAAATAATAATAATAAATAATTTCCATAAATAATAAATAAATGAAATATCCATAATTTTCATAAATAATAAATAAATTAAACAATTTCCATAAATAATAAATAAATTAAACAATTTTCATAAATAATAAATAAATTAAACAATTTCCATAAATAATAAATAAGTTAAACAATTTCCATAAATAATAAATAAATTAAACAATTTCCATAAATAATAAATAAATTAAACAATATCCATAATTTCCACGAATAATAAATTAAACAATTCCACGAATAATAAACTAAACAGTTTCCATAAATAACAATAATTAATTTCCATGAATTAAACAATTCCCATAATTTCCTAAGATCCAAATCCACGTACAAAACAACCACCAGCAAGAGAGAAGAAAAGAACAGCCAAACTGAGAAAGGACGTTTCTCAAGCAACCGAGCCTGCGATCCTCCGTCGAAATCATCGATCCGTCACGCAGCTCGATCTCTCTCCGCTTTTAGTTTCCACGCCATGTGATCGTCGCGCGAAAAATAATGAAATGCCCGGTGGTTGGCTGGCGGTGCTCGATAACAACTATAAATCGAAAAGTGCACCGGCTCGTGAAAGTCGTGCGTACGAGGCTGTTGGGCAAGAGGAGGAAGAGGAGGACGAAGAGGATGAGAGACAGGAGGGGTGACACCACACCATGGTGCACCTACTTCGACTCTCCGCGTTTTCTGAAAAAGCTTCTGCGCAAGGACACGGCCGGCAGGATCTGCCAGTATAAAAGCACGATCGGGACTGGTACGCTTTCCAGTCACGTATGAAACCCTGTTTCTGGCATCTGGAAGGGAAAGGACTATTATCGCGGAGAGAGAAGTTCCATCGGGGCCAAGTCGAAACGGCCAAACTAACTGGATCCCTGGGCCTGGTGGTGATCTCGTGCAAAGCAGGAAGAAACGTTTTGTCGATCGATGGGAAGGGTATGGGAAGGGTGTAGAATCGATTCGAGCGAGAGGCTATGTCCTTGGAAACTGCGTGTGATCGTAGCCGAGTGCTTCAGGGGTTTGGCTCGCTGAGAATCCGGTTGAATTTGGACGAGCACGATGCCGGAGACGAGAGGGAACTCGAGGATGATTGTCGTTGCCGTTGTCTATCTCAGTCTCTTTTTGGACAATGTTTTGCTCACGGTTGTTGGTAAATTGTCATTTGAAACCATTCGGGGAATCGGTTATCACTTTCAGGGTGACAGAGGAATTTGATTATAAGAATCCTCGATGTATCATTAATCGGGAAATCTTGTTGAAATCTATAATATGAATAATTTAAAAATTGTTGCTAGGTAATTGGGCAGATGCAAGAAGAAAAATTAATTTTGGAGATTCTTGGTAAACCGGAGATTGTTAGGATATTCAAAGTGATTAATAAAATGTTAAACGTTTATATAATAATTATAAAAATTTATATATATTTTAAATATTTATAAAATTGTATATATTTTATATATATATATATATATATAAAAATTTATATAATTTCGAGAAGATGAAGAAAGAGGTAACTGATTGTTTAAAGAGGTTCACTGAGATTCAAATTAAAGACAAAGTGAAAGAAATAAATTTCAAACGTTTCTGGATGAAATATGTTGAGATTATCTCTTGTTCGAAATGATCGGAATGGGTGGATAAAATATAATTTTTGAGAAATGTATAACGTTGTTACCGATTGTCCAAATGATCGAACACATTTCAGTGCCGATTATTCCCGACTATCTCTGCACGCTGGACGGAAACTCGACGACAAACAGTGAAAACGACGAGAACGGCCGAGTAGGATTATTGTTAAGCTCAAAGGCACTTGTGCAATTAATACTAAATCCAGCAGTGGGCATTTTTACCGGTACTTTAGGATACACCAAGCCGCTGTTCCTCGGCAATCTAAGTCTCTTACTGGCAGCGATGCGTAAGCTTATTTCAACTGTCCAACCATTGAAACTCTTTGATAATACTACTTCGTCTGATTTATAAAATCATCAACTCTGTCGGAAAATTGACTTTATAATACTCTTCAAATTTATATAATATATTTATATAAATTTATATAAATTTATAATATATTTATAACGTATTTACATAAATTTATAATATATTTATAATGTATTTATATAAATTTATAATATATTTATAATACATTTATATAAATTTATATAAATCTATAATATATTTATAATACATTTGTATAAATTTATATAAATCTATAATATATTTATAATACATTTGTATAAATTTATATAAATCTATAATATATCTATAATACATTTATATAAATTTATATAAATCTATAATATATCTATAATACATTTATATAAATTTATATAAATCTATAATATATTTATAATACATTTATATAAATTTATAATATATTTATAATACATTTATATAAATTTGTAATATATTTATAATACATTTATATTTATTAATATATTATATAAATTTATAATATATTTATAATGTATTTATATAAATTTATATATATAATATAGTACGAATATAAAGCAAACTTTACAAAGCTAATTCAAAGAACATTAATTCAATTGTTCGATAAATTTATCAGATTTCAAATTCATACGCCAATTTTTAACAAGTCGAATTAAATAAGCACAAACTGTCAATATTCTACAAAATACCAACAATCCAACCATCAGTTGGCGTTCAGAAACGAACGAGTTTCCCCGAAATTTTCTCGAAACACTTCACGAAACACAGCCGAAACTTTCCAACATTCTCAAACATTTGGAGAAATACCACCACGTAAATTAAAAGCTCAGAAACAAAGAGAAACATGTTCTTGAACGTACCTGGCAACTGTTGCAGTGTTCGCGTTTGGCCAAACTTACGAAGTGCTGTTCCTGGCTCGAAGCATCCAGGGCATCTCCTCCGCGTGCATCGGCGTTTCCGGGATGTCGTTGGTCGCCTCGCAGTACCCGGAAGAGGACAAAAGGTCGAAGATCATGGGCTTCGTTCTCGGTAGCATAGCGCTGGGCGTTCTCGTTGGGTATCCGATTGGCTCTGTCCTCTACGACCTCGAGGGGAAAATGGCACCTTTCTTGTTGGTCTCTTGTTTCATCGTCGTCACCATTTGTACGAATCATTCTCACGTCTCTTACTTTCGATCATTATTACCTCGTGGCCACGGCCATCCTCTCGTTTTCTCTCTTCCCTCTCGCGGAAACTAGAAATTAGAATTTCTAGATTTATTAAACTTGAAATTTATTAATCCTCTTCTCTCGCAGTGAATTGGAAATTAAATTGATTTTCATAGTTTAACAAGATCAGAGGTTGGATAATTAGAATTGTTTATGAAGAATTCACAGACTGGTATTTTTGTGATAAATAATATTGTAGTGAGAGAACGTAACTATTTCAAACAGACAATTTGGATAATTTTCACTTTATTTAATATAAAAATAATAATCAGTTATTATCTTTATATTATTTAATATTATTTGATTATTATTTATATAATATAATATATATTTAAATAATATATATATAATATATATTATTTAAATATATTATATTTATATATATAATATATATTTAAATAATATAAATAATATAATAATAATAACTGATCTTTAAATTTTCGTGTCAAAATACTTTGACAAATAAATTCATTGTTTTATACTACATATGATTCGTTAATAATACGTTGATACTATGATAATAATTTCCCCTTAGGTTTGCAGATTTTTACACTGGATGTCGAAATGAATACCGAGGTACGTAATACACGCTACAATAGTATAGTAACGTAGAGTATCTTCTTCTAATTAAGTAACTGATACTATATTCATTTACAATAACTAATACCATAGTAAAGGAATAATTTCTCAAAATTCCTCGCGCATAATCAAATACAGAAGCACTTCATCATACCTTCAACTTCAATTGATCTCGTTGGTTTTCATTTACAATAAAAATAAAAAAACGATAAATTTTTTTAGTCCAGCGATCGAAACACGTCTTGGACGCACCTGCTCTCCGACCCGTACATACTAATCATCTTTGGAGCTATATGGTGCTCGACGTCACCGATGGCTATCTTAGAACCCTGCTTACCGATCTGGCTACGAACTCACATAAAACCCAAGGTCAGCAAATTGCCAATCTCAAATTAATATTTTTTGAAAATTGAAGATTTCCAAATTGCAAATTTCATCGAACTTTGAATTGATTTAATTATTTCCTAACGATTGCCTTCACTTTCAACGTTACTGATGCAACAGTATTGAAACGTTTGTACCAGCAAACGCACAAAAATACAGAGAAATATAAAAAGAAACGTGAAAATACAAAAAGACGATTTAGAGAATTTTAGAAGAATTTTGAAAATTCAAAGAGAAATGTTGTTTCCAGAAATGGCAGCTGGGAACAGTGTTCATACCAGACAGCGTGGGCTATCTGGTTGGGACCAATTTCTTCGGCATGATAGCCTATCGCTACGGGCGAAGTAAAATTGCTGTACTGGCGATGCTGTTGGTTGGGATAAGTGCCATTCTGTTACCATCGTCCCAGACAATGTCGCAACTGATAGTTCCACATTTAGGAATGGGCTTAGGCATTGGGGTAGCGGATGCTGCTCTAGTGCCATTGTTAGCCAGCTTGGTAGACCAAAATGGCAATTACGGTCCCGTTTACTCGATTCAACAAGTGGCTGTTAGCCTGGCCTATTCTCTCGGTAAGCTGGCCTCACTTACCACCGTAAGAATATTTCAAATATTTTATCACTGAACCTTGACCTTAACGAGCGAGGGAGGGGAGAGTTCCAACGTTAAAACCTGACTCAATATTTCATCGTATTTCACTTCCCTTGCATTTTAATATCTGAAACGTGATCTCTCGACCGTAACATTTCAATTTAATCTAGACGAAATGTGCCTGTGAAATTGATTGATCGTACCAAGTGACTGTGTGTTTCGAGATTTTATATACATAAATTCATTTATGTTACCGATTTCATTATTGGAGAGAAAATGTTGCGACATTTAACGAATAGCAAGTGAAAAAAAAAAAAAAGTTACGAATTTACTCTGGAATCACTGTGGAGTGAGTTATTGAAATATTCTTCCCGGAGGACGAATTATACCAAACGATCTGCTTTTCTCACAGACTTCTTAAAAATTAATAAAAAATATCCCAATCGTTTTGTAAACTTTTTACAATCTGATCTCGATCATTTGGGAGCTTTTAGCTACGCCAAGAAAGTGATTGAAATTTTCATGGTTCCGTGTGTTCGTTCAAGGTCCGATCGCGGGAGGAGAAATGGTAAAGACGATCGGCTTCCAATGGGTTATGCGAATTATCGGCTTAATGAACGTCGGCTACTGTCCGTTCCTGATATACCTCAGCTTGGAGAGGAGGAAATTATTAACTCAGCAGGATGAGAAGAGAGATTACGAGACCTTTCAGAAATCAGTGACGAGATACGAGCGCTTTCGGGACTCTGACGACGATCTCTGATACCTCTGAACGAGTGTCAATCAATTACCAAGATTAACTTCTATTTTATATAATTCCACGAGGACGGATAGTCGTAGTAGTATCTGGTTTTTCTCAAAGTAATCCAACTTTAATCCAACGGTACTTTATAGGGAATGATGCAACTTCATTACGTTATCTCCATAAATAAATGCCAAACGTTGAACACTTCCTGCAATTTTCTGTATTTTCTGCATTTATCAGTACAAGAAGAGGAATATGTAAAAATTACCGAACAATTAAGAAAACTCGTGTCGAATACTTTTTCATACAATTTTGTTTACCTGCACGTAAACAAATGGAACACGATCTTGCTGATCGTCAACGTCGAATGAAATCACAGACAATTAATGGTAATAACGTTGATTGTTCGTGTCGCGACATTTCCATGGACACCGTGTTCCGAATTCACGGCCGAGAAACGTTCAGAAACAACATTAGCAACATCATTGTACTCCTACTCGACTGTGCCAGAGAGGGTAACTCAACGTCGTAAGTTATAACGAAGTAAATTACCATCCTCGAAATTGCTAAGCAACGTCCCGCGGCCATTTCGCCACCGACGTTCACAATTGCTCTCCCGAATTCGAAAAAAGAAAAAAAAAAGAAAAAAATCAGAAGGACCTCCTTCATTTAGAATTACAATTTTCTATTTGAATTTCGAGACGATATTTGAATCATTGTTTCGTACGAACAGAAGCAAGATAAAATGCACACGATTTATTATTTTCGATGATAAACGGCAATAGTGTTTGTTTGAATGAGTGAAAATTAACACACGGGTAGAATATTTGACAAGTGGAGCATTTTTATACTCAAAATATATGAGACAACTTGCTTGCATCCCATTTTGTTTCACCCCGAAAATGTACCGAGTGAAAGAGAACTCTATTAATACACTTTCGACGTGATGTCCATCCAATTATTGAAAAATTATAATTAATAAAAATTAAAATATATAATATAAATATACAAAATATTAAATAATAATAATATACATATAAATATATAAAATATTAAATAATAATAATATATATATTAATAATTTTATTAACTAATGACTAAGATGAAAAGAAGTAAGAATGTCACAGAACAAGAAAATAAATTTCCCAGTATCTTGAGCTACCAATAAAAACTACAACTTATCAAAATTATCACAATACTTTAGCATACTTTGAATTTACAATTTAATGACTACTAAGTATCAATAATTCTTTCAGGTAAATTAAAAAATAATAATTAAGAATCTTTTAAAATCATAAAACCCTTCCCTTTTTCGTGTTCCATAACAACCGAATCTCCATTTTCTTTACTATATCCCAACGAACGTTTTATTACATACTATGCTTTGTGTATAAAAAAAAAAAAAAAAAAAAACAATTCAACATCAGTTGATCGATGCTTGTTCAAGGAACGAGTAATGAAACGTGTAAAAAGATTTGCAGAAGAATTAGAGATTTACATTGTTGCTACAACGTTACGTTATTTATTGTACATACAGCTGGATAATATTTCAACGATATCTTTGCGCTTTTTTTTATAAAAATTCGTCACCTTCCTCGCATGTTTCAAAAAAATTGAAACAAAAGAAATTCGAATTCCCTCGACACTGAAGAAAAAAATGTAACTGTGAAATATTTGAGGCACTGGAACGCCGAAAATGTATAGAAATGTTCCAGGAGATAGTAATCTATTACCTCAGAAATATCCCGCTGGAAAGAAAAAAGGTACGAATCGTATCGAGAGAAAAAAATAAAGTAGAAACACGTCAGAAGACAAAGTTGCGTCAGAAATACTCTACATCAAAAACTTGTACTTGCAAATAAGACATAATACACGCACGATGCGTGAGTATCGCGTGAAATCTAAATAAATCGACATCAACGACTAAAAAGACTTCCTTCTAACATCGTTCTTCAGACCACCACTTCCGGCTCGTAGTGGGGGGAGGGGGCTCGAGATTACCAAGTCGCGTAAATTACCAACAGAGTATCGCGTGCAATCAATGGCGTACAATCAATTAATATACGTTTCCATAGAGTGGTGTGGTAGCAAGCATCCCACACTGTCACCCAAAGAATATTAAATCCCCTCTTCAGAGACGGCCGGTGGGATGACGTTAACGTCGCCGTAATCCCACAATAACGTTGGTGAAATTACACTCCATAAATAGAAAATCGATGCTCGCACGGATCCGATCCGCGCTCGAAATAAAGCCGACGGCCAAAGGGTGAGAGTTTCGTTCGCCAACGAAGTTGTCGCCTGTTGGAGAGAGGGGGGAGGGTTCGAGTGAAGGAAGCCGCGAGCAAAAGGGTGAAATGGCCGCTGGAACATTAATGTAAATTTAGTGGGAACTAGAAATCGGTATAGCAGTCATTTCACGTGGAATTTCAGGAGCCCTCTGCGCCGCCATTTGTTTTCACACACCTTTCCAGACACGTTCGCTCGTTTGGAGACATAACATCGTCCGAGAGAGCTTGCTTGTTTAATCGACGTACGACGATGTGGCAATTAATCGTCGAACTTTTAGGCCAGATCCAAGGTGGCGGGATTCGAAGCGGGAACTTTACTATTGAAATTTTGTTTCCATTTGTAAAATAGAAACAAGCTGTTTTCTTAATGGAGCGTAGATGTAAAACGGAACATTTTTATCCGATTTTCTTTTGGATAACACTTACTCAAGATAAAAGAATTTATCATATATTTTGACTAACTGCAATGTTATAATGTTGTAATTCACGTTGTTATTAATGCAATAATACATCAATGGACATTTGTTTCGTCTATTGAATATTATATATATATATATATATATTTAATTTACTATTATATATATAATATAAATATTATTAATTTAATATTTTATATATATATAATATAAATATTATTAATTTAATATTTTATATATATATAATATAAATATTATTAATTTAATATTTTATATATATATAATATAAATATTATTAATTTAATATTTTATATATATATAATATAAATATTATTAATTTAATATTTTATATATATATAATATAAATATATTTAATTTAATATTTTATATATATATAATATAAATATATTTAAGTTACTATTATATATACTATTATATACACATTATAATATTTAAAATGTTCAATGGAAGTAGTAAAATATGCATTTATTTACGCACTTATGTTCAATCGATCAAAAATATATATATATATTTTTTGTTGTATATATATATATATATTTTTTTTTTTTTTTTGATCGATTGAACATAAGTGCATAAATAATTGCATATTTTACTACTTCCATTGGACATTTCAAATATTACAATGTATGCTTTACTTTAGACATTATGTGTGACATTACAATATTCAAAGAAACAAAATCTTCATCGACACTATATTCATAAAAATATTTTATGAATGTTATTAATCGATTTCATTATTTATTATTTATCATTATTTATTATTATGTTAATTTTCTTTCACTTTGGCCGACAAGTATTCTCCAAAGAACTGAAGAAAAATATTGAAATGATGTAGCCTCGCTCTAGAAACTCGCTGGATGATACAATAAGTTTATTCAGTTCTCTTATCGTTCGTAGGAGAGATTCAAGCACGAACTACGTTAGTAACGAGGGAAACATCGAAAAGGCCGGATAAAATCAGCGAGCATTCAGGATTTCGATCAGAATTTAAGGAGGGTGAGCCAGCACTTATCTCTTTCCCTTTGCCCTCCTTTCTCCTATGGTTCTATATTTTCCCTTCTTCGCGGCTAACGAGCCACTTTACGCCCTTGCTAGCGCTTCTTTCTCTAGTGCTCGAGGTCATCCTCTTAAAACATGTCCTTTAACCGCGTTAAACGACACGGCAATAAAGAAAACGATCGCGAATGAAAGAATCAAGCATTCTCGTTTACAATTGCGACGGAATGGTCGAACCAAAAGCGCGAAAATTAACGTTTTCTGAAAAAAATTAACTTCGAGTTACTATGAAACAAAATGCCGTAGCAACAAAACAAAATACCAAATTACCATAGATTGAAATACCATAAAACGATCTTTGATAATTTTTGAATATTTGATAAAATAATTTTAAATAATTTTGAATCTAAGTAAATTATTTTAAATAATATTGAATCTAAGTAAATAATTTTAAATAATTTTGAATCTGAATAAATAATTTTAAATAATTTTGAATCTGAGTGAATAATTTTAAATAATTTTGAATCTGAGTGAATAATTTTAAATAATTTGGAATCTAAGTAAATAATTTTAAATAATTTTGAATCTAAGTAAATAATTTTAGATAATTTTGAATTTAAGTAAATAATTTTGAATCTAAGTAAATAATTTTAAATAATTTTGAACCTAAATAAATAATTTCAAATAATATTGAATTTAAGCAAATAATTTTAAATAATTTTGAATCTGAGTAAATAATTTTAAATAATTTTGAATCTGAGTGAATAATTTTAAATAATTTTGAATCTAAGTAAATAATTTTAAATAATTTTGAATCTAAATAAATAATTTTAAATAATTTCGAATCTAAGTAAATAATTTTAAATAATTTTGAATCTGAATAAATAATTTTGAATCTAAATAAATAATTTTAAATAATTTTGAATCTGAGTAAATAGTTTTAAATAATTTTGAATCTAAGTAAATAATTTTAAATAATTTTGAATCTAAGTAAATAATTTTTAATAATTTCGAATCTAAGTAAATAATTTTAAATGATTTTGAATCGTTTCTAAGTAAAAATACGTTCTTAGACAAATAAATTTCAAGTAATTTCTTGCAGCTCCTAAATAATTTTAAAACAAATCTCCAATAATTTTGAAAAAGTCTTCATGAATTGAATTCGGACGATTTCAAAAACCAGCGACATTTAGCATTCAGAGTGACGTTGCTTTTAAATAGCATTGAATAATTTCAACATGATATTGAAAATCCCTTCGAGAGATGATTGTTAAAAGTTTACAAATGATGATGAAACTTTAAATCGACTCTTGATCTTCAAAAACGTTCTTGAAAGTATAATAACTCTGATCCCCTGGGACCTTGAAATTGTCTCTGAACATTCTTAACGCAAAACTTGCAAGATTTGGCTTACGAATGGCTCCTCGACAGCCTTGACATGATTTTTCACCGAGTTTCAATTAACATTTTAACATAATAACATTCCTCCAATGAATCCTCGGGTAAAGACTATGCAATCCACA